CTTTTATTCTTTACATAGATTGACAAAGTGTATGTTTATAACTATAAAACATCCGTAAACAATGTTTCATGAAATAAAATGTGCCAGGTAACACTGTAATCATAGAGTCAATGAAAAATTAATTACAAACCAAGCAAAATAGTGCTGGTATATGAAATGCTAACAAAACTGACATTATGGCATTTACAAAAGGTGTTCTATTCTTGTGTGACGACAAAAAAATTGAGGTCTATTAATTCACTAATTAGCACCTGGATTACACAATAAAACCCATGTCAACAAAGTGGATTTTTCTTAAACCCTATGCATATTACTTACCTGCTAATCAGAGCAGTAGATCTTTAGTTCGGACACAAGCAGAAATCTCTGGACTTTTCTAAGGGAACTTGAGAGCTCTGGAAAACAAGCAGACAGGACAATATCTTTATTAGCTGATAATTATCTCAACTAAGGATTGGTGCTTTGAGAAGAGAAATCAATACTGAATCAATCCAACTTCAAGTATATTAACATAAACACAATGACTGTATCCACTGCATTTAATTACTGCACTGTCGCTAATTGCAGATCTGCTTGCTCTAACTTCACAAGACAAGGAAGAAAATGTGCCTATTATCTTCTTAATTTATGTTCAATATCCAGCAATAAATAACAAAGTAGTTAACGTGGAGTTAAATTTGGACATTTTCCCAGTTGTGTTTATTGAGTCTTCTCACTGATAATTTTCCTCAGATAACCTATCTTCTACTCAGTTTTAAACACATGCTGAACATATGTAACCCTAATATATATCCTGTGCAGACGAACAGCAGCCAAAATAAACACGAAACTGGGGAAAACTGTGCATGTTTCTCTACATTCTCCTAGTTTGTTTTTCTTTCTTTCATATGTGTAAAACATTTTCTTTAACCTCAACCACATTACATTTCTTATAAAATCAATTATTATAATATTTAATGGGTAATAGCACTTTTTTAAATTTGTGCTATGACCTTTAAAAAAATACAAAAACACACAAAGTGACAGATACTGAGTCTAAAAGACCATGATACAAAATGTAATCATTCTGATTTAAAAAAATTCAAATCATATTTTCTTTTCCCTGTTCCAAATAATATCAACATTTTTGAATAAAAGATATCAGCGCTCTCCCATTCTCTCGCCACACTCCAGATTATACAGTTATGAATGCATTGTCAGCAACGCCAGATGTGTGTTATCACTGAGTAATTCGACTTTCTCTATAGAAGCATACAACACACTGAGTGATCTTTGCATAATTATCTCCCGTCCTGTCAGATTGATTTTTATTTCGTCTTTCCACAAATCTTGCTCTGGATTAGCTGAAAATCAATACCAACGACTGCTCTCCTTGATTAAATATTTAACGCAGCACAAATATAGCACCCCTACAAAGCAAAGTTATGATATCTAGCTGGTAATTATCTGGCTACATGAAGATCTGTATGCTAATGTATAGAGGACTGGTGGTGGAATAGACTGGCAAAACACTGCCTCTGAAGCCTAAATAAGTTAGATGAACCAGACCCTTAAATAATCTGAACCAACCTGAGTATAAAACTACCATTTGCATCGCATCATTTCAATGTATCATGGCTAAAATAGGCAAATGCAGGAACGGGGAAGCTGTAAGTGTCAGCCTTTTTTCTTTTGCGTCTTTGAAACAACATTTTTTTCATACCTCATAAACAGATGGTCAAAAAAAAAAAAAAAAAAAATGATTCCAAGAAATTTTGATTAAGTTCTTGTATGGTCTTCAAGAATATGGCTGGTAAACAAGGCACAATAATTGCTATTGATGAAAGTATAGATTAATCATTCATCACTGTCACTGCACTATCAAATTAGAAGTAGCTGTAATAATGATGCTCATAGTCTTCAGTCCCCTAGCGGTTAGCACTTCTGACGTGATTGTTTGTTGTATTTGTACCATTTCTGAGACAGAAAAAAAACTCCTACCTGCAATCACCCACTGCTTCGATTTACGTCTAGGAACTTACAAAAAAAGACGACAAGCATTTAAAGCCATGTAATAACCGTTAAGGATATTACTCAGATCTTTACATATCGATATATCAATCAATTGGTGGGTATTTCTAATGTATCGCTCTGTCCTAATCTAGCTTCTGACATGATGGATAAATGACTTAGCAACATTAAGACATACTAAAAGAGATCTCACTTCCCATACATAGGAACACGACCCTAGAAAAAATCTTACCAGATTTTTCCAGTTAATTAATTCAGATAAAGAAAGGAAAAATATTTCAAAATTTGCTAAATCAATTTATCTGAGATATTTGATACGACTGAAAAAAAAAAAGGAGAGCTGTTCAGCTGTAACGGGATCCAGACTAACGTAAGCCAATAAGCCAAGGCAAGTGGTGCCTGGCTTGGTGTTCACTTTATGTGGCATCTTAATTCACAGTGAAAAAAATCTGTTCAGTAACCTTTCAATGACCAGTCCATAATAAGCAGGACTAAATTTCTTGAACTCCTAACACTGCAGCCTAGCAGTGATTTGATGAGCATGTGTGGACAATGTCTGTGGGCAAGCTCTCACAGCAGGGATTAAGTAGTAAGCCGTCATCCAGGGCCACTTCTTATCCAATCATACCTCTTTTTATTGCTGATATGTTATTTAACATGTACACCAGGCTGAATGCCAGTAATTTCAGGGGGGAAGAGGGGGGGGTCTAAAAATATGGACTTTTACTTGAGATATGGCATAGAACCTGGATCGATGTTTGATTCAGAACAGGTCTTTTCTGACCAAAAGTTTGCTTTATCTCAAACCTTCCTATCTACAGTTTTACACAATAAATTATTTTTGGGGCCTTAATAACAATAATATTAAATCTATACCCCCAATTTCCTAATTTATCACCAATTTTTTATTTTCTAATTTTTAAATCTCAACTGTTAATAGCAATCATTCAGTAATGAAGGTTGTTTTCTGGACAACAGATCTGTCTTTTTTTTTTTTTTTTTGGTATCAAACTGTGCATAACATACGCAGTAAAGAAAAGCTTACCTCCAATAACCCTGCACACAAATTCATCATTGCTAAAGATCCATCTTGCCTTAAGGACAATAACAATGTGCTAATTTGTCACGTAATTTATGTTATACTTGTTTATAACATATTTTAATTTTTTTAAACTTATAAATCAGTAAGATAGCATTTGGTATTTTAATGTAATTAACAAGAGTTATAAGTTAAATTGGATTACACATAATTATATCATGTGAGAAATTATTTTAAATTAATCAAGGAATAGTTAAGGCAAATTTCTTCCATTCAATCTACATTCAACATATCAAAAGCACAAAAGTACTAACAATAATTTAATATTTCAAAGTTTTAATAAATAAATAAATATAAATAAATAAAAGACACTGCTAAATAACAGACAAACTGATATTTCTAAAACTTCTCTAACAATGCATTGACATTTGACAGATAACATAATAATAATCTAGGATTATACACAAACCACAAGTTACGGATTCTCTCGGATATAGAAAAAAATCCATGTATAGTCATTTACCAAAATAGACATAATACCAACTTCTATCACTGCTGCATACATATCCTTAATCTTATCATGCTGCAAACACCGCCAGCATTTCCACGTCAGTGTCACATGTAGTAAAGGTGATGTTGTGACATTTCAACCATTTATTGACATAGCTGTTAAGCTGTGCCCTGATATGTACAAGTATAGGTGATACACAGCCAGTGAAGATCCGGATAACCTATCACTTTCTATTTAGGTATGGGGTTCACTTAATAATTCAAGACATAGTATATAATGGATTTAAGGTTTTTTGACACAGACTGCTTGGATAAAATGGCAATTAATGAGTATCAACTTAAATGGGTGTAAAAGAAGATACAAAATCTGTATCAAGCAAATTTAATCTCTTCATAATGAAAGGAAAGTGACATTAATTCATTTACTTAAACAGAGAGAGATCTGGTCTTGTCAGCAGAATTTATGTTCTACTATTTGCCCAATCAATTATTTATAATGCATTAATACAGCATTAAAGGATAACTCATCTGATTCAAAATAATGTCTTTTAAAATTCAATGTTGTCAATTATATGAAATAATAAATAATGCTCATTTTTTTAACTTGTGAAAAAAAGAGATCAAACATGGACTGGGTACTAGTAAGGGGGTCAAATTTTACTGTTGGGGTATAAGTTAACACTACCCAGTTTAATAAAACCATTTTTATCAAATGGTCTGAATACACTTCAGTGGTATGTTTATCACAAAAAGTAGTGAGGCCAGATAGACATCTCTTTCAGTGGCAATCAGCCATAGTATTTAAGGTTAAAGGTGAACATTTGGGTGAAGGGTTTCTCCGGGCAGGGGGGTCGTCGGGGGTCATCGACGACGTAAATGACAGACCTGATCTGTGTTACTACAGCCCACCGTCGTGTTAAAGACTTGTATCAACGTTCTTCTGTACATTAAATCTGGCTTCCTCGTACAGTCCTATTAATAACCAATCACTTTTAATTGATAAACAATAACTATGGGTCCTTAAATAATCACCGTCCTACAGTTAAGCGAGGTTATTGCCCTCCACTATTTTAAGTTAACAAAAGATCGGCTTTATGCACCTAGGCTGTCTGCTCAACTAACTGCAGCTCGGACAACGGTCAAATTATGTGAAAACAATAACACATATAATTCTTAATTAGGACTGGGTTTATTTTATCACACCTAAAAGATACCTACCTCTTCTCCTTATAAATATTCGGATACTCTTCCGTACAAAGAAGTGTAACCTCAAGTGCGAAGGGGAATCATGCTCACACACATTTGAGGTCTGCTTTAAGTCGGCCTACACAAAAGTTTATCCAATCGTTACGGCTCTAACATACCAAAGCGTAGATACATTCTCTTTATCTATTGGTCATTTCCCTTAAATCTCGCAAAAGCGGAAGTGGTAAATAGCGAGATTCGATATGGCCACCACGGAATATGCCTCCTTGTGACACAAGCTTAGTTTTTACTATAGTTTTCATACTTAAAGCAGCAATCTTAAGCAAAAGAAGGTAGGGAATCGGTAGATTGGTTGTCATACCCTATATCCGAATACTTTAGTTTGAATTTAGAAAAATGACAAGAAAGTTAAGTTCATGTTTTATTTGTTGTATGTTTCCAAGGTCTGCTTACTCATATTGGCATTGTTGCATTAATGAAACAACTTTGTAAATGTTTTGTCTTGTTGTTGACATCATTGTAATTCATGTGAGTAATAGTCAGGGGGCTGTAACAGCACTTCATCTGACGTTAACAACTTCGTAAAGGGTGTAGTGAAAAACTAGGTGTTTGTAGAAGTGTAGTTTAGCATTGTAAAAATAATACTGGTAATTCTAAACAGGAGCTGGAACTTCCGTGAAACGATCGTCGATGGTCAAATTACTTCGACAGGTTTACAGGATGAAGACAAAAGTGTTTAAGAAGTCATGGCACAGATGTTTGTTTGAACTCTAATTTGTAACCAGACATTGTAGTGCCATTAGATAAACACTTGAGACATCCACAACCAGTACTTATCTTCTCCCATTTGTATAATCATAAGTGAAAGCTCACATGATGTGTGTAGAAGAAAGCTGCATTAGACTAACAGGCAGTGTCTTATCAAGGGGAAATGGAGTCTTAATTGCTCAGAGCTGCGCACTCAAAAGTACTGGAAATTGAACTTGCTTTATTTTTTCAGACAGCATTTTCTTTATAATTTGGTGACATGATCAGTATATTTAACATCTTTTTTTTTCATTGTACATTAGCACTCCTATTTACAGTATATGATGTGTGCTTATACATAAAGGACATCAGTGCAGGTAACTGTAAAATGATTGTCCACCTAGCTGCAGTATGTCCACTGTGATGTGTGGACTCTCAAATAATTTGCTTACCTCTCATCTTCCCAAGAAGGACATTACCGAAATGCCAACTAGTTTTTTCGTCAACATAGCTGTGAATAAGATTAGAATTATTTGCTCATGTACCAGTAACATATATATATATATATATATATATATATATATATACTGTATGCCTTTGTTACACTACTGTTGACACTTTGACTGGTTGGCTTTTCAGTAGTGTGGGACCTGAGGGAGTGAAAGTTAAGCAAAAAGCTTTGAGAGCTCCCAAGTCTTAATCTGGCTGTCAATTTTATAGTTATGTGCACCTATATCTGTCTTATCTGTATATTAATTTAACACTCATATACTAGTATAGGCTTGTACATATCAGAAACCATAAGGAAGAGTTTTAACACAAAAGACGTAATAGTAATCTTTTGCCTACCTGAGATCTGTACTTCTAGCTGAAAGGAGGAGATTTTGCTGCCAAGATGCAGTAGATTTGCAAAGATCTGTCTCCTCTGCATCACATTATATGTCCTTTATGTTATTGTTACTTCCTTGCTCACTTTAGCAGTGAATAGGCAGGTGATAATAATGATAATTATTTTATACTGACAATGGTAATAGGGAAAAAGGTGTGTGGCTTTACACAAATTAGCATGGATAATACCTTTTTATTTACTGTCCCAAATCATTTACCGAGTACTTAGTAACTAATTTGATAAGATTTAACTATTTTAATGACAAAGGCAAGTCCAAGGGACTGCCCATATAAAATTGCATACAATCTCTTTTTTTTTTTCCAGTGCCTAGGCCCTCCGCACCATGACAATTGAATACAGTTGTATATCAAGGGGTGCTACAATCCTTTGTAGTCACCAGATTGGGGCTGGGGACTTCGAGAATGTGGCAGAAGACATGCTAAGAAATGTGCCAACAAGGACTGACAATAAGGTCACATACCAGGGTCACAACAAGTAAGTATTACAGTAAGGCCACATGCAAGGGTCACAACAAGTAAGTATTACAGTAAGGTCACATACAAGGGTCACAACAAGTAAGTATAATAGTAAAGTCACATACCAGGGTCACAACAAGTAAGTATAACAGTAAAGATGCATACAAGGGTCACAACAAGTAAGTATTACAGTAAAGATACATACAAGGGTCACAACAAGTAAGTATAACAGTAAGGTCACATACTAGGGTCACAACAAGTAAGTATACAGTAAGAAAGATGTTAAGAAGAGTTGAAAAATGCATTTCTGTTAACTGCAGACCATTTTGATTGTATGTTGTTACGGTAATGTATTGTTTTATAAAAATAAATCATTTGGTTTTTTCAATCCTTTTTTGTTACATATTCTTTTTGATTTTAATAGAACTTCATTTTGTGGAATATGTATCATTTGATAATACCTCCTCTCTTCAATTATCACTTTATTTACTCTAAACAAATCAAATACTGTAGTGTAGTTTTTATTTATTTCATATTGATTATTGTATATTATTATTGCATTTCTAAGTACTGTTATATATGGCATTTATGGTACAACTTTATTTTGTTGGATTATTTTTCTGTTGTTGATTTTCCTCTTTCCTTTTAGTTATGCATTCCACTGTGTAGTAGAAAATGGTATCATATATATGTGTGTATCTGCAGCCAGCTTTGGAAAAAGGCAGCCCTATGCCTTTCTCACAGAGGTGCCTGTTTGTTTACTTGTTTTTTAATTATGAATACTACAGAGTGTATTACAAGGTGTGTGTGGCTGGTGGTGTGGAGGGGGGCAGAGAGACTGTTTCTGTTTAATTTGGAATGAATTTGTAATGTTCACTTACAGCATCAGTGCAAAATTTACATGAATTTTTTTAAAATTCCACTGTAAAGTTGTTTGTAGAATAATAAACATTGATTTTTAATATAATTTTTAAATACAGACAAACCTGAATTGTCTTTTGAAGCATGTGATTTTAAGATGTTTATATTACTTAAATGTTTGTCTAATACAAATTGTGTTGTGCTTAGATATTGGTCTCTTTTTTAAGATCAAGAGAATGTTCCAGTCAGGCAGTCTGGCCAGCAGAGCTATCACTGCCTTGCCATTTGAACTTAACAGAGACTTTGCCCAAGTCCTGGCTCAGAATATGGTAGGCAACTTGGTATTCTTAGGTTTGTCTAGCATGATGTAGTTATTCTTGCACAACCAGCTTCCACAATTTTTACCATTGCTTGTAACTGCAAGCACATTGATAACATGTTGACCCCTGGACTAACAGATCCGCAGCTCAAATATGGCTGACCAACTCGTAAGCTGGCCACATAATCCCCTTATAGACACTTAATAGACTTCATGCAGGGATTGCGCAGTAAACTTTTAGGAGTGTCAGCCATATTTGAGGTGCGGATCTATTAGATCAACTTTGGTTGTGAGAGCCACCTGTATCAACTATTATTGATATAATGAACAGGGTATTTTCTTTGTGACCAACCAAGTTAAGTTTGTGTGTCTGGTGCTGTAATCTTGACCATTTAGGGGATTTTCACAAAACTTTCAGCTAAAATTAAAAAAAAAAAAACATGAACCGACCAAAGTCAGCATAATATGAAAGCTTTCCCATTTATTTAAAATATAGTCAAAATCAATGCCCTAACTTTGTAAGGAAAAAGCTTTTTTTTCTTTTTGAAACACAATTTGAGAATTATGTTGCAATTGCTCACACCATTAGATTGCAATACCATAACTTTATAAATTTTCAATTTTTTTGCACAGAAAAAGTATCTTACTTATACCCAGTTTCTTTTTTAAAACTTTTGAATCATTTTCTTTGGACATACAAATAAAATATTTTTTGGATAATGTGATATAGCAATTTTGTTAAAATTCAGAGACTTTAATTTTAACCTTGTAACTGATGTTTTATACAGTGAACAGTGGGTGTTCATTTTGTACTAGTTATATTTTGGTAGATTTTTTCCCAATTGATTAATTACGGCAAAGCATGTCTTGTTCATATTCTGAATTAAATTTCAGGAGAAATTTTCAAGCAGTTCTGGTGGTGATAATATGTCAGCCGTACAAAAACAAGTGAATGAAGTCAAGGGCATTATGACACAGAACATTGAGAAAGTGTTGGAGAGAGGAGAAAAACTGGACACATTGGTGGAGAGGAGTGAGGAATTGGAAGGCACTGTGAGTATTGCAGTTAACTTATTGCAATGTCCCATTCAGTTAAAAAAAATTGTGTATGGGAGGGAGGGGTTTGAAATTGAACATAAAATTTAACTTAGTAATATTTTCAAAAATTATTGCCCATTGAAAATAAATTTTTGGTATGTGTGTATATTTGCTAGTTTTTCTGTTTTCTTAATTTCACCTATTTCATAGGGAGAATTTTTTAAAGTATTTGAAATATAAACTTGTTTCTCTCTTAATTAATGAATAATGCTAGATTTTTACTTTATGGTAACTTTAAGATCTTTAGAACTTTAAGAACTTTAAGTTATTTAGCACAAGTTGATATTATTTTCAGATGCAAGTTGTTTGTCAGTAAATTGGTAAATAGCCTGTTTTCTGTAAAAATATAAAGATTTTATATGTTAAATACCAACTACAAAATGTTTGTTTGTCATCATGTACACAGTTAATTTCCTACCCTTACATATCCTTTTCTTTCATTTCACTTCTTAGTCAAAGATGTTTTCCACAACTGCCAGGAAGGTCAGGAAGAAATATTGGTGGAAAAACACCAAAATGACAATATGCCTAGTGTGCACTGTGATCATTGTCATAATAGTACTGACATTGATTATCTTGTTTTCCACGGGGGTTCTCCCACCTAAATCCAGTGATTCTGGCTCGACCACAGCTACGACACCGACTACAGCACAGCCAGGAGTGAGGCGTTTACTGCAAGTTCTGTACGAGTCCCAGTAGGCTAAAATGTCTGATTTGTGATGCCACTATTTTTTTTTAATTGGAAATTGATTTCTTTTGGCATTTGTAAAAAGCTTTGAGAGACCATGCTATTTAGCAGAGGGTGGAACAATAGGGGGTTCTTTTGGGCTGATATATTTAAATAAACTTCAAATCCATATCCAGATTGAGATGAATTAGTGAGAGCAGATTTACATGTAGCAAGGCATGGGGTGATCTAAGAATCAAGCCATAATTTTGCTTTCTCAACACAACAGATTTCAGATCGCCAGGATTAGCTGGTATGAAGTACTTTTGAGTGTTTGCAGGACAATTTTTCATAAGTTTGTCCCAAGCATGAAATGTTGTCATTTTTCTTCCTCACTGTGAATTTTCATATTTTAAAAATGCATTCCTACATCACTCCAGGCAGGGAGCAAAAATGGCAAGATATTAAGGAATTTTCAAGAGAAAGTTGGAGAATTGCTTTTGAAAATAAGTTAGTTTCTATTTTTTGGAAAAAAATTATGTCAATTAAATTTTCTATTTAATGTATTCCAGAGTAATTTTTATTAAAAACGATCATATAATATTTTGTATACGGTGCTTTAAAATAGTTTTGATGGGGAAAGCAGGTTTTAAGAAGTGTTTGATTTCATTTACAACGTGCTGTAAATTAGTTGTGCTGATGTAACACAAGTCAGTTTTTCATTATCCATTATCCTAGAAAGATAAAAAAACATTTTATTACTACAAAAATGCAAAGCATCATCGTTACCATAGTGATATGTTTTTCAATAGTTGCATAATTATGTAGACAATTAAATTTGATAACATTAGTATGCTTATCTAAGGATCCTGAACACTTGTTGTTATCATAAAAGGGTTTCCTAAAATAGGATCAAAGCTAAAGAAGTAAAAAAAAAATATTGTAATCTAGGATGTATATCCATGTAAAAATGTTTATAGTGTAATTAGAAAACATTCTCATTTTTTGCTAGAAAACTAATTTTACCAACATGTAAGAATGCCAATAAATAATTTGATTTTAAATTGTTTTCCATATTTAATGGGACATGCATTATGCCTGATGAATGTGTTTCACATGTTTGTTTTTCCCCCTTATTTTATTAGATATGAAAGACCCTATATATTTTCTTCACAGGATACAGTACCGGAAATTTAGGTCTCAGTTAATGTACCTGTCAGTTCTGTGATATACTTCAAAACCAGATTGTTCGGACAAGTAAATTTTAACAATGGAACATGGAGTTATTTTTTGGTTGCCAACATCACACCTAACTGAAACAATATTTCATACTTACATATTAAATTATCATAAGAAACATTATTCATAATTTCAAAAATTCTTCATTTTGTTTCAATTTCAAATTCTACACTTTAAGTTATCTAACCAACATCCTTACACCAAGCAACTTTTGAGGTGCACTACGTCATGAAGATGTTTTCACTTGAAATTTCTCTCTCAGTTTTTCCAACATATTTTTCAAATCCGTGTTATCCTCTGGAATTTCTCCATCAAGCTTGCTAAATAGCTTTTCACAGTTTTCTTTCTCTGAGCTGCTTAAAAATGTCAGTGATAAACCAAAGCGCCCAGCAAGGGTCAAACTCTCCAGTACTTCCACTACAAAAATATTGTCAGACAAGTCATTAAGAAGTGCGTCTATAATTTCTCCTAGAAGACCAAAACTGATCTCCGCTTTGAATATTGCTTGTAAGTTTTTGCTTCCAATGTGTCGGAGGTAATTAAGCTTGTCTTGGCTGGTCTTGCAGTGGCGCCTCCAGGATTGTGCAAATTCATGCCCATTGTTTGGAATTTTTATTTCCATCTGAAATGCATAAAAATGTTTTTTTTTTAATGATAATGGTCATTATTCAAGCAAAATATTCATAGCAGTCTTGTAAACTTTGTTTTCATGTGGAGATTCCTATCAAATGCAAGTTTTCGAAAAGCTTGTATTAAGTATTTTCTAGACATCAGTCGCTCAAAATGCTGAGTGAAAGAGCATGGATCTCTGTGCTAAGCACAACTTGCATTACAATAAATGGTATGCAACATTTACCCCTATCTAAGACAACATATATATAAATCAAACTCTGACATTTATGTGGTCATATCAAAGACAAATTGTTATTGCCATCTCACCCTGATACCTTTTACTAGGTGTATGCTGCCCTGGATAGACCATCACCTCATTGAGTGTCATACATTCAGGCCATCCAGGTGATCACACAGTGACAGGTACCAAGGTGAGACTTAATAGCCTTACTGAGAGAGCGATTTCAGGAGTGGCTGATTAGCAGAGAGTGTGACGTTGAGTGGGCACCGCATTCAATGGACTTGAACCTCACCATATTTTTATTTGTGGGGGTATCTCAAAGATAAAGTGTACCAGAACAACCCTCAAATGATCGGTGAATGGTGGAGAGCAATCACAGTAAAAATCAGGTAAATCCCGAAGGAGAAATGTGTTTGAGAAATTAACAAAATTTTGCCACATATTCAAGTGTGCATCCGTTGCCTCGGGAGAACACTTTTAAAAAGAACATTCCTTTTATGCAAAGCAACCAAGAATACTGAAACTTTGGAATGATCATGCCCATATTGAAGTTAAAAACCAGCAAATTTCTTGAATTTTGATGGACCTTTGTAGGATTTAAAATTTCAATTTTTTTTTTTTTTGTCACCCTGTAATTAAAAACGGGAAAAAAACCTTCATCTACCTGCTTCAAGAAAAGTTATTACTTCTAACCCCATTTTTCTTTTTCTTTTTTTTTTCTTTTTTGTTTGTTAAAATTTTTGTTCACATTGAAAGAAATACTGAATTTTTACTGCATGCAATTAATCTAGGGTTCTATTAATTAAGAAAAAAATCTTACTAGTGCAATGTATCTATTTAGTAATTATAATATCGACGTTCACACATACTTTCTGCAAAGTGTCTGTGTCAGAAGTGTTGGAAGAAGACAAAGACGCCGAGTCAGCAATGGTATTCCATGGCTGCTTGAATCTGTCCTGTTGTATCTTGTCTGTCTTCTCCAGAGGTTTCAGATGAGCTGCAAGCACTATATCCCTACAAGAGATAGGGAAGCAGCACAATAACACACTTGTAAAACTGCTTCTTATCACAACTAACAGAATGACAGTGACAGGTAACAAATGAAACCTTTTATATATCTGTGCTACAGTGCATCCAAAATTAAAGGTAAAGAATAGCAAAATATCCTATCAAAAATACAAATGTTAGTTCACATACCCTCATTAAACCTAAGGAATTCTGAAGGAAAGAAAAAGGGAATTGCCTCACGTCATAGCTCATTCAGGTCTAAGACAATGGTACAGAGCAGTCAGCACAATGTGGAAGATAATTTTGAAAGTTTGTGGTTTACCTTCATGTAGTTTCAACTTGAACCTCAGGTGAGGGTCAAAGAAGCAAAGATCAGCTTCAGGTCTAATAAAACAAAGATTACAGCAGTACATGAGGGTATAGGCTTCTGTTTACATTCCTTGGCAGAATTCAAAAGCCGATTATCAAAATTCATGAAAAAAAAGAGAGATCCTAACCAGGAAATACAATAAATGCTCTCTCTCTCTCTCTCTCTCTCTCTCAAGTCTTCTTTACCTAAACTCATCATATGTGGCCACCTTTTGGTTGACGGCCCTGAACTTGGCATCGTTCTCTCTCCAATATCGCTCATCTGCTGTGACTGCTGCACTCAGCTCCTGCTCCAGTTTGTCAAAGTCTATCTTATCTTCCTTGGCTGAAGCCATTTTACACTGGATTTAGAAAAACAAACAAAATACGTAGAAAAATCAAGGACTGAGAATGTTTCAGATGGGTTTGGGGTGGATAGGAGGCCTGCTGCATAAGTTCTGCCCCAAGAACGGGTTGAATTTGAAGCCTGAAAATAAGGAGTTTGAATTATCCCTTTGATTGATAAAAAAATCTCGTGAAGTAAGTAGATCCAATTCTGGGCACTCTGTGTAACATGAGGTGACTTAAAAACTATCAAGATGACTATACATACCTTTAAATTACTGCATAAATAAGATGAAATACGGATAAGTACTGACGCTTTTGTTGCTAGATAAGCATTATCAGGTCTCCTGTTCCGCAAGAGCTTTAAAAATTGCGTTAGCTGTGACACAGCTGAGCTGTATATTGTGTTCACCTTAACCAGGAAGTAAATAAATTACCCACGCTATCAATCTAATCAGTGTTTGCTCTCCCGTAATCTTCAGCACGTTGGTCGATGATAGCGGTCAGACTAAGGTCCCAGACAGGGCACTCAAAGTCCTTCACATGATTTGTTGTAGCTCCATCAAGGACGTAGAGCCTGGGAGAGCTCTGAGAGCATGATTTAATAGAAGAATTAAAAGGCAAAAGAGGAGATAACAGTTTTATTACGGGTAACAGTTCCACTCGTAAGGTCAACGACAGCAATAAAAAAGTTGTAAAGTGAAGTGACACTGTCACCGTGAAGGTAGGAGTCAAAACAAACACAGACAGGACACAGAAAGAAGAGTTTATAGCTGTGTTGGTCAAGGGGCCTGGGAAACCGGCACCACCTGTTCGGGTAAGAATAGAGAAAGATCCGCTTTCCTCTTTACCGCGTGTCAGCTTTGCTGTTTCGATTTCTGTTTTTCTTCCGGGGTATAAGTGGTCGGTGAGCGCCAAATGAATGATGAAAAGAATCAGCTTAGGCCTGTGGCCAGCAGTTTTAAGGAGGGTTTCTTTTTCTGAAAAAGTGGAATATATCTTACAACCCCTATCCTCTATACATGTAAGTCCCACCCTGGCCCTTGCCTCAGTTTTCACAGGTACATGTAAGGCTCCCCCCCCCCCACTGTCCTGAGTTTATTGTTACTCCAAACTGAAAAACTTGACGCATAAAAAATGATATTTTTTTTTCAAAAATGGGGACCCAAAAGTAGCAATTAAGATTTTCTGATGGTAATTCAAAAACCAGTGTTGCAAAGAAAAATCAGAATGGCAATATTGATGTGGGTTATGTCTTCATGGTTGTGGGTTATGTCTTCATGGTTGTGGGTTATGTCTTCATGGTTGTGGGTTATGTCTTCATGGTTGTGGGTTTTATGTGGATGATGCATGTTTCATATAAAAATTTGCTATTGGACCTAGGGTAACAATGCATCAAAGCATTGATGAGGGGGTTGAGATGGGGTGGTAACAGTTCAGGGGCATAAAAGGGATGACCCTGGTTTTTAGAGGATATAGTTATAACTTGCTATTAAATACCATTTTCTGTTATTGTAATGACAAAAATAGTTTGCAGTAGAATTGATTGGACTTAAATCTGCTGCAGATGCACTGGGGATATTCGATCAACATGCTAGCATGCAGATTTATAAAAAATTCAGTACTTTTAAGTTACACAAGAGATTTAATTTGATTTGAAGATTCATTTAAAAGCATTCAACTTTGTTTTCAGTTATTTGCTTTGCCTCACATATTTATTTATTTATTTAAACCATTCATTATGGCATTTACTTATAAAATTTTCCATGCATTTAAAGATAAATTTACTCTCATTCTTCAAAGTAAAATAATTTTATACCATACATCATCATCATTCCATATCAAAGTTATCAAAGAGTTATCAACTAGTTCTCTAAACTAGAAAAAATGATAGACTACCAAAGCAAAGAAACTATTTGTCCTGTCAATATTATAAAATAGATTGGTAAGTCAAGATAAAGTTGATGGCCATAAGAAAGGTTTAAAATGCTGCCGTCAAAGGCAAATATTATTGTATGCATGCGACATGACGAGGTTTGGTGTTACGCCTACTGTGCATGCAAATAACAGTGTCATATATTTTCAAGATTGAAATTAAATGCCCTTGTCAGCCAACAATCTTGTTTGTTTAGAACTTTCAAATGAATAATACAGGTATTGCCACCCTTCGTGATGTCTGAAGATAAGCACTCCTGTACCTTAGGGGCTATATTATGCTAATTTGTATTTTTGTCTTACGCTTACTTCCTCTTTTGCTGTCAGTTACTGTTGGAAACTTTCATGGCAGGGAATTCCCTTGCATATACGATAGTGTTATAAGCCCTTTGGACTGTTAACTAGCAGTAAGACAGGAAGCTTTGGACAGAGATTGAATACAGATAGAACCCAGAAGAGAGAGTTTTAACATATCGCATGTTGAAGGTCTTTATGACTAAGTCACAAGCTGTACAGATGGTTATGTAGTGGTAGTAGTAGTAGGAGGACATTTTTTTGGTTATGGATAGAACTGACCAGTGGGCATCATATCCATGGGCTGCTCACTTAATGTCCCCTCAGCTGGAACAAGGTGCTGGATAAACAGGTAGAAAAACACCTGTTATTAGGATAAAGCAGACTGGATTGTATCAGAGGAGATTGACAGAAGGGGCTGCTACTCTGCAGGGTTGTTTGTATACTGCCTTGTTTGTACTGTCCAGTAGTTATCGCCAGATCAAGTTTTGATGAAACACGAGTGAACTTGTGGAGTGAAGTTGTCAGCAGACACATGGTGAATGGTTGTTATACATGTTCAACAGGGCTCTTTAAGTGACAGTTTTTGTAATAATGCTGACAGCAATACATGTACAAGGAAATGATATATATAGATATTCAACTTGAGCATTTAGGGGATGTACTACTAAGTGACAGTCTCTCTTAACTTGCCTGTTGGGTAGGTGTATATATACACGTGATAAATCATAACCTTTCAGCCTGATTCAGTGGAAAGTGCTCTTCAGGTCTGTTACATAGATAAAACTGTAGTTTGATAGAGCTATAGAATGCAGCAACAGCTCATTATTCCTGGCTGAACAAAAATGATGTATACTTTTATAAACCATCCTACAGAGGGTTATTATGGAGTACGTCTGGAGTGATGTGAATGGATAGTGACATCTAAATGATTTGACAAATGGTGGCACTGAAAAACAGGAAAGTTATGTGAAGAAATTGAGGCAGCACAGAAAAAAATGTGCCATGCCAGTGATCAAGAATCATGAATGATAACTGATTTGGGTTTCTATCCTCCATATATACTCAGTGAATCCAGAGAACAGTGGTTATTTTGAACTAGCAGAGGTAGATGTTAATTATTATATGTGCATTCACATCACATCTTAAGTATCTCAAACTATAACAGTGGAACTCCTTGATGATGAATCAGGAGATAAACACTTATTTTAACATTTGTTTATGAAGCAGGCTTATATTCAGCTTCTTATACTGGTTGCTGAAAACTTTTTCAAATATGCCATTTAAAAAGTTCGCAGAGAGGATTTTGGGTCGCCGGCCACGAGCATGGACAACAGGGCATACACCTGATCCGGATACAGTGTTTCAAAACTATGATGTGCCTAAACCTGTGGTGATAGGTAAGTTAACTGTGGTAGATGTGACAGTGTGTTAGGTGTGACATTGTGTTAGATGTGACAGTGTGTTAGGTGTGACAGTGTGGTAATACAGTTTTGGTAGACAGGCTGGCTGATATGAGTCCCATTTTAATTATGATGTAGAGGACAATTTGATTGTTGTATTTACTACATGTAGATCAACTGGAATAACTTTGCGGATTATGTTTATATATCATGGTAAAATGATATTTAATCGTTTTCTAAATAGGATTTTCTCTCCAAATCTAATTATCTTTAGTCATTAGGGATATATTATTATTTCATACATGACAAATATACATTGCTTTGAACTAGCTAGCCACTGTTTGTAGAACTGGGATTTTAGAATAAAATTAAAGGTAAAATACTTGTGCATTTTGATTGAGCTAGACCTTTAAAATTTTCTTACAGTGGAAAAAAAAAACAGACTGGAAATCCCCACCACTGAAGAAAAGAATTATATGAGCCATTCTTTTGAATATTGGTCTATTATCGTGTGTAACTGGAGGCCCTTGGAGACCCCATTGAGTCAGCTAGACTTACGTTCACAAGGTCCAGTGACCACAAACTGACCACAAGATGACCTCATTCATCACTGACTGACCTCTGCCTCACTTCGGCACACTGCAAAAGATTAGTCAGCTTGTTGGGATTTCCTCTACTATCGCTTTCTCTCTTTCTTTCTCTCTCTCTCTCTTATCTTTTTGAGGGGGAGGGGATTGGAAATTTCTATAAGATTTATGATTTTCAGAGCTTAATAAAAGTGGTGATGATGAACCAATGGAAGAAAAATCCTGCTGCTCACATGCTGATTATGATTTTGTTGTTTTGTACAGGTATATATAGCTCCATATAATCTATAGAGGAGGAAAAATAAATCCACCTGTCAACCATAAGAAATGGCATTATAGAAATATTTGATGCAGAGCTGCTGCCACCAGTTTTAAAAGCGGGGTTCTTTTTCGAGAAAAAAGGAACTTAAACTAATAATATTCAACCCCTTACTTAATTAGTTATAGAATAATTCAAAGTGGATATCTATCCACAAGGAGGTTCATTCAAACCCTAGAGACACCTCCCCCTCCCCCCCCCAAACACATACACAAACGTGGGTCTAATATCGTACTATATGTGTAAATACTGAATGCTTGTGTTGTTTAGTTTCCTTATCAGATTAAAGGAATAGTGACACATATTTTTGAAGTTCAGTAAAGGAGTGACTATACAAAGGTTTGTGGAATTTACCATGCAATTAAACTTGAGGCAAAGAGAACAACTAGCTTGTTTTTTTACGTAAGAGAAGCATGGTCCATCCCCTATGCTGAATCACCAAAATGTCTCCTGGACAAATTTCTTATAATTCGTTTTTAATTTTTCATCTAATTTTTGGTTTTAAGAAATGTCCAGTTATATGTTTCCACTATATGGAGTATCATATGATAGTATGACTATGGGTGCTTTCCCAGAGATTTAGATTGATCTAAAGATTAAGTTTTAGATCCACCTAACTCCCTGGGGCTTCACTCTAAATTGCAGTCAGCCGAGCGGGCACCATAGTTAATTACCCCCTTACAGCTTTTAGTAGGCGGGACAGACGCTTAAGCCGGCCAAGCTGACAGTAATCTAGTGAGACTTCCCACAGGGATAGATCGATCTAAAAATCTATGGAAAAGGGGTGTAAAACATGTACTCAATAAGCATTAGCCTATGATATTTTATTAAAGATGTTGGTTGAAGATGAGGATAAATAAATAAATAAATAAATAAATAAATAAATAAATAAATAAATAAATAAAAATAGCCTGCAAATGGTTTACAAAAAGTATTTATTTTAAAGAAATGTCTGAGAAAAAAAACTCTTATAGAGATTAGTCTTTGGATACTGGTAGACCCCCTTCACAGTGTCAACTTTAACTCTTATCAGATACCTACTGAAATAAATATACAGGTGTCTACTGGTTTGGGGTTCAACATCTAGCCTAGATTACCTGTACACTGCAGTATCTTGAATATTCGTTTTTTTTCATCTGGGGTAGATATATGTGGCTATTTTCTCATTTCAAATAGTTTGAAGAAGGAAAAAAAAAAACGGTTTTCTTGCATTTGAAACGTATCTGCAGGCGAATGAGTTGAATCACTTTAACCTAAAAAGATGGAGGTGTTATCTAGAATTCAAATTTGTGGTACAAAAACAATTTACTAGGGCATCAAACCAGCAACTGATAAAAAAATTTACAGAGAGGTACTTGACACACTTCAGGGTGTATAATTCTATTGTTTCTCCACCATCATAACTGGGTTTACGGATAAGTGTCCACTCCAATAAAGTGGTTGTTAAAGTGCTTAGGATAAATCTGTTTATTTACCTGTTATGAAATTTAGAAATAAAAAAGTTTTAAAAGTGCTCTTTGCTGTTCAAACACACATATCCACACATTTGTACACACACACACACACACACACACACACACACACAATAACGTGGCTTTTTAAAATATATTTCTAGGCATTCTGCAAAATAGTTCTTGTTTTGGACAAGTAACAAAAGAAAATGAAATTTAGTTAAGTAAATTTTTGAATTAAATACACACATATAAACCTTGAGTATATGATTGAAACTGCAAAAAATTGTATACGCCATTATGCTTATTACTTCTGCATAATCTGTCAATTACATATTTTACTGTAGTCATCTTATTTTTGTTGATATAAAAATGAAAGCTGCATTATTGTTCCCAGCCCTTTTTTTGTTAGTTAAGAGGTGTTTTATGATTTATTATATACATGCCTGCCTTGTTGAAGTTGTACTGTAATTGTGATTGACAATGTATGATATGAGTCATATTTCTATATATGTCTAAATATCTTGCAAAGCTACTTGTCTTTCCCAATTGGTACCTTAGGAACATAAAACTAATTATCCAAAATACAATCTCTATGAACTTAAATCGATACATTTAGATTTATCAGTGAAAAGCTACTTATATCAGTCGGGTTCTAATGTGTACCTGGCGCTGTTGTCTCTTATTGCACTTAACACTGTGTAAAAAAAAAATATGGCATAAATTTGCCATTTGTTGAGTAAGTTTATCAGGAAATGGTGAATATGGAAGTCACATAAGAGCTCTTAAAAGTTGACAAGGAAGTTAAGTATCAAAAATTTTGTCAAAATTTTTACATTTGTACTTGGCAGGCTTTTGACAAGCTTTTGTAAGGCCAAAATAAGTTGCTACATAATACTACAAGTGGAATTATCAATAACAGTGACATCTCCAACCCCAGTAAAAAATTAATTATGAATACTGAAATATCTGTTGAGAGCACGTTTTTATTTTGACTTCATGAAAATTTTTAATAAATTTAATAATTTTGTTGTCTGGCATCTTTTAAGACATATTTGATTTGGATGAAAATTTGTTTGAAATATTTAGTTATAAATGAGGAATGTCATATTGAAGCATTGGATAAACAGCTATGCGGGATTATTGATCTGATAGCTAATAAAAAAGACAGCACAATCCTCTGTTGTGATAATATCGTATTAGATCCAATTTGTTAAAACGCGAACCAGGAAGTTTGGAAGTTTTCCCTCAGTACATGTAGTTAAGCAGCTATCATTGTTGACAGTAACGAGTTCCATCCTGAAGTGTGTTCATATTATTATTATTATGACATGGAGGGAGCTGAAGTTTGACCATTGAAACATGCGTACATAGGAATATGTGGAGGACATGTGTTTCTTTGATAATCTTACTGCATGTGGAAATTATCAGGGGATTGTGTAGATCAATCAGTGCATAGAACTTCCTAGTTGAGATATCAGAGTATGTGACACAGATGCCATTTTACAGTGATGTGATTCAACATGTAACTACTATTCAGTAGTACATTGTACAGCAGAGACGTCTGTGTTAAAACGGTTTGTACATAAGTATAGTGACTTATGTTAAGAGCTGTGGAAAGCCTACACACTCAAGTTGGTGTAGGATAGATTTCTACAGACAATTGGGTCTTGGCTTACTCATGAATTTTTCTGGATCATGGGATTGTTTGTGGATTATTTTTCTCACTACTTCATTTCAATGGCATTGTGCCGTGGTTCAGTTCTATCTTGTTAAGTAGAGGAGTGTGTGGAAATGGCAGAAGAGGAGGATTATATGACAATCAAAGAATTGTACAAAGGTATAGTGCTTGGCATATCCCTAATGTTGTGATTGATTAATATTTGATCAATTTTTTTAGGGAAACAGTAACGAGATTATATATGTTATAAGTAGATGTTACTGGCAACATGATCTGTACAAATAAGGAAATGCATATTTTCAGAAACACTAGTTCTTGGCTTGGATTCACCCCCCTGCCCACCCCCAATAGTATATCTTTAGTATAAGCACAGAAACCATTAACTGTCAGTTGTCTATAGTATATTACTAGTAGTTTAATCAGACCTTACTTCTACTACATGCATGTACATGTATATTGACTGATGCTCTCTTCACTGTATGTTCACACATATTATTATTATATTAATGTATTAAATTTTATATTGTGAAAAAAATGGATGCAGATTTGGTAAAGAGGGACAGGCATGTTAAAAGAGTATAATTCTTCAAAAAGTACTTTAAACTTTACCAAGGGAAGTCCCCTTGATAAACATGAATTGGAAGTGGTCTTGTCATGAATTTTGGGGAGAGGAGGGGGAGCTCATGAAAGATATAAATTCCAATGCTTTTCAACTTATATTCTGTTTTGCATATAGTCATTATACAGTTCTATTCTTGGTTTACCTACTTATTATGATGTAAAACCTTTTTTTTTGTGTAAATTAGTCTCTCAAATCTAAACTCTATCATATCTTCTCTTCCCCTCAAGGGATAAGGTGAAGCAACCAGGAAGTCTTCCCTCTACACTACACTTTTTGTACCAGTACTTACAATGGGGAATAGAAATGAATCTGTCAGTAACTATTTATAAATGGCATT